CACTGAAAAGTGACCGCCTGGCTCTACACACTGAGATCAATGATGTAGTCTACTTATCTAAACTATCTGTCATGTGCTGGAAGTGCCTCAGATTCATCAATCAATTGTTCAAACCTACCATATGACGATGTTATCTTTTCACTTTGTTTTCTCACCTGTTTTTGTTGTATTTAATCTCCACGAAAGAGATGTATATACACTTTTTTAATGTTGTGCGTGACAGAAAAACCGTATATGTAGTATTAGTTATTGATGTAGATATTGTGGTATCATCTAGTGGCGACAGAGGTGTCCTAAGCTACACTCTAAAAAGAAATGTGACTTAGGATGAAATTAAGTCGCATTAATATGCCTTATTCTGTGAAAATGAGACACATTAATGCGACTTAATTTGATCCTAAGTCGCATTTTTTTAGAGTGTGGTATTCCCAATTTGCTTTTGTCTAACTCTTCCAACTAATCCGAAGGCTAGAGGAGTAACAGTTCTATACTTAAATCCTTAGTGGTTTCACCAAAAATTAACCCCGCCCCGGGAGACTGTTTTATATTAGCTATGGATACTATTTAACAATACTATGTAAACTATATTAAAATCTAAGGAGAGTGGTTAGGCTGGTATGGATTCTGTCTTAAAATCAGTTATAAAGAGTATCTTACATTGCTCTTGTGGTTAGTTTGAGCCCTGCTGATGTTTGTGCCAGCAGGAAGACTATGCTAAAGATGGACATGGCTAGTGACTTGAATATGTATGGACAGTATCTGAAAAAGATACATGGAGATTGCCCCATAAGTGAACGCGGGGAGTGCCTTAAGTTCACCCAGGTCAAAGAATCCTATAATAGGATGATATGGGATCTTGTAAGATGTCAGATCCTAAAATAAGATCTTGTCTGACCTTATATGATCCTACGAAATCATATAAGATCTTATAGGAAACACGTCTGCCACCTTACTTATGAGTACTCGTTCACACGCCGTCGAAAAGTATCGCGAGTTTCGATGGCTCACAGAATTTCGCAAATTTAAGGCTAAAACAATTTATTTTCTACAATAAAGTTGTATTTATATTATCGTACTACAAAACACGTCGGTGATTGTGTTCTCGTATAGAAAAAGAAAAGAAAATATATACAGTACGAAATAATAGAAATCCTGCAAAATCTTAACGTAGGATTTTGTAAGATATGCATAAGATTCGTATCGTCCTATATCAGGAATCCTATCCAATTCCTGTTGTCGGATTTTATAGGATCCTACAACAGAAATCCTGTGAAGTCCTATTATCAGTAGGATCCTATAGGATCTTGTAGGAACCTAGTAGGATTGTTTACCCTTGGACAGTGTTTCATAATTTATTAGAGCTATCAGTTTATTGCATGATTATATCTGGTGCTACTGTTATAACGCATTGCTACTGTACTATACTACTGTTCGCTGAAATTTTAGTGAAAACTGGCTGTCTGAAGTCACAGAATATATTATCGGATAGTCTCTTACACTATAGTTTTTGATCTGAAAACCTATTTTTTACTAGCTACAGGAGTTACACATTTTAGCTACGCTAATTTTATAATATATCCTCCCGCTGTTTTGTTAACAGCCTTTTTTTATAAGAGATATTATTTGACAAATGACGCACTATTGTGTTTTCTGGTGGCATCTGGTCACTCATCTGATTTGTCTATTTAATTACGAATAAACACCAGCAATTAACCGAAAAGCGAGCGTATGGTTGTGAGATAAGTAAAGGTATAACTGCAAATGTTAACCACAAATTCTTGTATATAATCAAAGGTTTTTTTATCTTTTTGAAAATTTTAGGCTAATAATTTACAATTATTTTGGACAGCTAGTGGAAACAAATTAATAATTCCTACAAAATCCGGCGTTTTAGGAGTTTCATCTTTTTCACAGGAGGATGTAACGCCAAATGATGATGACTTTGTCATTTGAGTGTATTAGCAGTGAAAATAGAATAGAACTGAAACTTATATATTCATACTGTGTCAAGAACATAGTAGCACGATCCGCGTTATTCTTAAGATATACTGATGAAGTAAATTGCTTTTTTTGATAGTATTCCAGAACAGATTAGAATCTGCTGTCTAATAAGTTCTTTAAACAATTAAATCAGTTTTACATGATAAATTGTACATACACAACAGAAGTTGTGATTTTTTTCTCATGAATCGAGTTCGCTTTTGTCCAGCAAAGGGAGAACTACCACGCTTGCTTATTGTTACGTACCTTGTTCTTTTTTCTCGAACTTGATGCACTATGGTTTAAAAAACAAAGCCCAAAACTAATAGGACCTGCCTTTTTACTCAAAAGTAGAATTCTGCAAAAAAGAATTCAGAGCCGCATCGCGAAAAAATGTGCAAGTCCAAGTTCAAAAAGAGTACATGTTCGGTCTGTGAAATCAATAATAAAAAGAGTATTTTTTCTCTCTCAGACAAATAAATTTAAATGTTTTTAGATTATATATGATAATTTATGTTTTTGGTAGATGAATTTTGATATGCAGCCAACACCTTCCGCTGTAGGGAATAGCGCAGGTAATACATCTACTGTTTTATTCGTATTAGCTTTTAGTATTTAACTTTTATTTAGTTAGTATTAGTGTTAGTAAAGTAACATTGTTCAGACCAAATGGATCAAAGTATATTGTTAACGATGTGTCTGTTGAAGGAGATCAGAATGAGGCCGTAAGTTTATATTGTTATGATGTATGTACTTGAAAAGGACGTACACTCATTTTTTTAGGAACTCTGGTCGATCAATGCAACAAGTAATATACATGGCGAAGAAGAAATATATTCGAAGGGTAATCGTATTATATGGTCTTATCCAGTACGTGATGTCAATTGTCCACCATTTATGGAGTTTACAACTGATTCCATTCCGAAACAAGTATGCATTTAAAATCCTTAATCCTGTAAAAGAATTAATTTTTCATTTTTTCCTCTTAGTTATTATGGGCAACATTTGAAGAATGTTCTCTATTATGTAAGGATCATTCTAATTTGTCTTGGATTGACTTTTCTTGTCTATTGTTGTATCATACAGGTGAACACGGTGGAAAAGAATTTCCAGTTATAGTAGAACATAATTCAATCGGTGTTATTGGTATGGATAATGGATTGACCAAAGTGACTCTGCCATTAGTGGTCTGTTGATATTATTAGTAATTGACTTATAATTTATTGTGTGACTTTCTTTCTTTTATTGGTAGATCTCTCAAATATGGCCATTTCAAGGTGGCTTAGTGATTGAACGACAAACGTATGTTTAAGATCTCTCGTTCAGTTTTACTTTTCTTTAATTATTTTTCTTTTTATCATAGCAATGATCATTATCTTCCAAATTTATTTACATTATCGCATCCATTAGAGGAAGTAAAACCAATCATTTCAAGATTAAACGGTAAGAATAGAATAACACTGAGAAGCTCTTGATAAATTATTTTTAATTTAACAAAATAATTTCTTCGGTATATAATTTGTTTTCAGGTGAATGGTTTTATGGTTCAGATAAACGCTCATATATAACCAGCGGAATAGCAGCAGATGAACAACTTCTACTACGGTACGATGAAATCAGCCAAGTACATAGTTTATGGTTATTACGAAAATGCACTGTGGAGGTAAAGTAGTATTTGTTTGTTTTGTAAATATTGTCAACATTTCCATTTTATAGGACCGATATCAAGCAACAAACATGACATTACCCTTTCTAGATCAAAGTTGTGTAACAACAATAACAGCGTCTGCGTTTAATCCACAAAATACATCATTTCTACGGGAACATCAACATCCTGCTTCTCCTAATGTTAGTCATAATTTTTCTCGTCATGGAAGTCTCATTATGAATACGGGTGGTTCAAATTTAGTAACAGGGGCAAATACAAACATCGCTTCTAGTACTATTCCTACTTTATATTCAAATCCGAAAAGGCTAGCATCGATGGCTGCTATATGGTAAAAAAATTTATTTCTTTTTGAATGTTTTAAATTTAATTGTGGTGTTTAGTCGTTCACCTTTGACAGAAACTCTACGCACCATGTCGCGACCACAGTCACAATTATATTCAACAGCGGCTACTCCTACACCATGTGCAATGAATGATTTTTCAACGTTAACAATCGGTGGTGCCTACTGTCCCCCATCCATGATCGATCGTGTGGGTGCAAATGGAAGTTTTTTAGCGACGCTAACTGCTGATTGTCAAAATCATCAATTAACAATGCCTGATCCACTTAGTCCGGATTATTGTGTGGAATGTCTATGGTCAGATTCATCAATGAACTCATCAACTAAGTGAGACGAATGACATGAAATTATTTATATCACATGAGTTTTATTTTTTTTTTATAGAAATAATGCTTATGCAACAAAATTTTTTAGTCTACAAGATTTGTCGAATAATAGATGGGTAGCTTATTTAATGCCAAACATAAATCTTTTACGGTGAGAATATAAGTACAAGATATGAATGATAGCATCTGACTGTTTTTTATATTTTATTTAGGCTTATTCTTCTTGAAAAGTCTAGTGGAAATAGAACGACTACACGTGCGACTCACACAATAAGTGCACATGATGCTGTTTTTGTTCCAGTATGAAGAAATAGTAGTTTAATAAAAATAATTCGAACGATTATTGTTCTTCCATTTTAGAGTATCAGATTTTTAATTGTTCTTGATCAGACAAGAAATCTTCTACTTTATTCTGGTGCATCAAGAGTTAGTATAAATGCACTAGACGTTTCAATGAACAAAACAAACTTTAATGACTTCTGTATTTACTTTAGATTGCTAAAGTGCTTTTACAAGAAGAAACAATCATACCAAATACTATTCATTTAAATCCTGTTACAGTCACACCATTTCAACATGTTCGGACATCAAGCAGACCAAATAGTTTTCATCGAACACCCTTAGTATTTATATTCCGTTTCTATTTGATTATTTGATTTTAATATATTTTTATTCTATAGAAATTTCCTCAATCTCCAGTTGTATCATTCTCAAATCACACAACTCCGTATTCAGTCAAACCCTATTTTGATGACAGTTTAAGTGAATTAAATCCCGGCAACATCACTGAAACTTCAACGTCATCATCGGCTACTACACAATTAACCCAATATCGTTCATTATCAGATGTACGTGGAAAATTATTTAATATTTGTTTACCTGACAATAAATATTATTCTATTGAATTACCAAATATATGTCACACACCGTTATGTAAGTTGTCTTCTTTAATTTTTCAATAATGAGAAACTATGTAGATATACTGTTGTTTGTAGGTGCACTTTCATTGAAAGCTGTGTGTTCATGTGTACCTAGCGAATTATTTAATCAGTTTATAGCCACTTTCTATTCTAAAAATATCAATCCATTGTATGAACGTTCGCCAAATGAATGGTACACATTTGTGAATACATTATTGTCATTAATTGGTTACGACACAAGAAAATGTGCATATATTAAACGAGTATGTAAAATAACTTAAAAAAAAAAGATTTTTCCTTCAGTTCGTTTATTATCTTCTAGCTACAAGGAAAAGTTTCAGCTCCAACACCACCTCCGATTGTCAAAAAAACTAAAATTGATACATGCGACAATGATGAGGTACTCTAAAAACAATTGTTTGAAAGCAAAACTTCTCATTGTGATTGTGCGGTATCCAGTATACTGAGCGGTACATTCTGTTCTAATTTTACTGTTAATAAAGATTTAAAAAGTTTTAGGATTGGTTGTTTGCTATATCAGAAGCGAAAAGAATTGATCCAAAACTGTTAAAATTATTGAAAAAGGAAGATAGTCAATTATTAGATAAAACAATGGAATTAGAAAATTATGATGATCTATTTTTGATGCCAATCACTAATTATGAAGATGTTGAGAAGTGTGATGCAGATGATGATTTACTAATTGAAGATGAAGAACAAGAAAATGACGAAAATGATAATGATTTAACAACAAAAGAATGGTCAGCAATGGAACAAGATTATTCAAATGAAAATACTGATAGAAATAGTTCAATAAGTAGTAATATATTTTTAAATAGAAGTAAAAATATAGCAGCGGCTGTTGCATCAACACCGGGTGGTGATAAACAACGATCTGTTTATCAGCAACAAAAAATATTTCGTTATGCAAATATTAATGTTAATGCACCATTATATGCACATACTGGACATATCTTTTGTGCATTACATGTTATTTATGAAGTAAGAGAAAATTAAAACTTGCGAATTTAATATAAATAAGCGTTGTTCTATTAAAAATTATTTTTAGGAACTATCATTGAATCGTGCAAAAGAAATAATTGCATTGTTAGAGTTACTTTATCTCATGGCATGGTACGTTTCATGAATTAGCTCAATTGATTATTATACAGCCTTGTCTTGTTTTCTAGTGATTTCAATTTGACTGAATATCGTCATTATTATTTAGCTGAAAATTGGAAAATTTCCAAACGTGTTCAAAAAAGTCACCAGATAGCAATAAGTAATAAACAGTGATAAAATTTTTTATTATCTGACTCTTAATTTTAGTTCTCTTTCAATTTTAGATTCTTCTCCAATGTATATGCCAAAACTTTTTCTTTCTTCACCACCAAGCTATTTGAAATGGTTACGTTTATTAATTAAAGATGATTCGACATCCACTTTACAGCCATTTCCATATATTCACGATGTTACCAATCAAATTTTATTATGTACAAAAGTAAGACTTTTATCTGATTAATTTGACTTATTTGAAATTTTTGAGTTTTTATGAGCTTTTTATTTTAGTTATTTTGTCTATATCTGTATCCTTCAGTACCTGATATTTATCGAAATTATATGTGTAATATTTCAGTGAATAGTAACGGTATGATTCAAATGAAGCAATCGTCTGATGTAATAATTTATTACTATTATTATTTAGATACAACTGCACTGGAGTCTGGGCCAATATCATCAAATAATAGAATCAATTCATCATCACCAATTCTATATAAAAGTCCAGATAACGTGGAAAAAAATACATCTGTTCGTTTATATTCTGTTATTGATGCATTTTTGAATGAAGGTAGTTTATTTGATTAATAAACAGATTCATTACATATATCTAACTTAAATTTGATTAAGATTTGGCTCGTACAATGTTTGAAAATTTACCATTGTGTGTTCATGCTCTGCTGTACGAAGCAATTAGTTACGTAGCTAATCATCCAAAATTTAATTTATCACGCAGAACATACGAATTCATTGGTAACTTAATTTCGATATGAGTATAAATTTATTCGTATGTGATTTTCGTTTTTTTTTTGTCCTAGGTCGAAATGATTTAATATATCATGATCCAAAATTGTTTGATAAGAATTTTGATCCAGGTGTTATCGCATTACGTAGCCTTGAATTAATACGTGTTTATGGAAAAGACTTTCATAATGATAAAACTCGTCTTGTCGAAAGTGAGGTAAATAAAATCTTATTTCTTTGTTATAAAGGTATATCGTTGTTTAATTCTTCAATCTTTACCACGTTGTATAACATCTACGCTCTGTTTTTGATTTTTATAGGTTTTAAAACTACGTTTTCCAGAAGATCTTCGTGTTCAGACAATTGTCGAATGTCTTCAATCGTCTACACCCATTTTAATCGATATTCCACAACGCCCAAATGTTACTGAACAAGAAGTTATGGAGGGAAATGAACGTTACTTATACAGCGTTGCACAACGGACAATGTCACTGCCATTTGGAAGGTATGTAGTTTAACAGATTCAGTGTGTATTGTTTATTTCTAATTATCTTCTCCTTTTTAGAGGTGCACTTACATTAGGCACGGTTTATGCTTCGCCGCATGATGCATTTGTTATACCAGAATTGAATTTGAAAGGTCGCGTTCCGTCATCGTAAGCACTGAACTGTTCTGGACGAAACATATTTACAACTTTTTACTTTTTTTGTTGTTTAAGAACGATCACTGTAAATATGTCCCACATTGATGTCCCGCAAAACATCACACATTGGCCATTGTTTCATAATGGTGTTGCATCCGCAACGGCAATTAATCGTCATGCGTGCGATATGGGAAGTAATTGGATACGTTCACAAGTGTTGAAAAATAATGATATTACTAATGAACAAGCAGGATTTTTATACGGTCTCGGCCTAATAGGACACTTCAAAGATTTACCTAAATCATTAATATATTCCTTATTACAAAAAGCAAATGAATTAACCATGATGGCATCACTATTAGGAATATGTGTATCCAAGTAAGTTCTTCGTCTGTTTGTCTCTCATTCTTTCTTAGAAAGAGTAAACCTGTAAATTGAGAATATGTTTTAGTTATAAATCAATGAGCCTTAGTTTAACAAGTTTGCTAACAATATATATCAAAAGTATGTTGCCACAAACATTATTTGAATGGGAAGTACCATTTGGTGTTCAGATATGTGGTATTATGGGTCTTGGCTTATTATACGCAAATAGTGGTGATAGATACATATCAGACATACTGTTGGCTGAAATTGGCAAATTACCAGTTAGGTACGTTTGTACTGAAATATACATAAAAGTTAATATCTCTATTATTTTGTCGTTTTTAGTACCGGTGAAAAAGAAATGGTTATATTGGAACGAGAAGCTTATGCATTCACGTCCGGACTAGCACTTGGAACTGTTTTATTTAAAGTATGTTATTTATCTCTAGATATCAAAAAACCAAATCATTTGATACTTGTATCAAATGTATCAACTCTCTTTTAGAAAGGTGTTAGTAACATTAATGCCAAAGAAGATTTTTTTACAAGTGCCTTATTAAGTTATATAATTGGAAAAGAACGTGTTTATTCATTTGGTACGTTACGTACACACATTCAAGTGGCTGAATACGGTTCAATGAATGCAAACATCACGGCAACCGGTGCAATGATTTCAATTGGGTTAATTTATTTCAATACAAAAAACAAGTAAAAATTATTCACCGTTAATTTCAGCATATTTCTGTAGACCTGTAGGATGATACTTTTACACTTCTGAGTCAAAAATACTGGTTTTTTACACGTTCATCAATAGTAGTCGATGAAATATTCTGTCTATACCTGTTCACTGTTTACGTAATGATTTTGCCTTCAGTGAAGAACTATTCTGATTGATTCTTCTAGAGATATAGCGGAATGGTTTACACCAAATGATACTATGCGATTGATTGAATTAATTCGTCCCGATCTTTTATTATTAAGAGTAAGCTATTTCTTATATTCAATATGTTCTGTTCATTCGAACTATAATGTTTTTGTTTACTATATTAGGCTGTTGTATATAATTTAATAACATGGGATAAAATTGAAAATTCTCATGCATGGTTTGATCAACAAATACCAGAAGCGTTACGCCAGAATGCCTTTCATATTTCAACAACAAAGTTGAAAACGCCTATCAATGCTTATGATCCAGAATCAATTACGCAAGCCTATTGTTATTTAATTTCTGGTCTATGCTTTAGTTTAGCATTAAAATATGCCGGAACATGGGATAAAGAAACGACAATTTTAATTGTATTTATAAACAATTTTTTTTTTTTTCGACTTTATCGTAATTTGATTCTAGAGGGAATATTATAAACAATTTCATCAGTACATTGATCGTCCAGTAGATCAAGTAGAAAATGATTGTTGTCCACCAGATCGATCGACATTAGAATTTGTACTGTCAACGTTGGTACTCTCACTAGCAATGGTTAGTAGTTATTTTTTATACCACTGGCACAACTATACATTGTCTCTTTTTCTATATAAAAGGTCATGGCTGGTAGTGGCGATTTGCAGTTACTACAGTTATTAAGATCTCTACAAGCAAGAGTAGGCCCAGATCGTGCGCATGTTACATACGGTTCACATTTATCTGTTAGTATGGCCATGGGTTTGCTGTTGTTAGGTGGTGGACGGTAAGTGTTATAAACTGTAGAAACACAGCATTATTTGAAGTTGTGCTGTTTAGTTATGGTTTACAAAATAATGATGACGCTATACCAATATTGATTGCTGCTTTTTATCCACATTTTCCTGTCCATAGTAACGATAACCGGTATGTAATGTAGTACTATTTACTGTGAATCTCATTTGACTGTCCTTGTTCTAGTTTTCATTTACAAATATTTCGCCATTTATACGTCATGGTATGTGAATCGCGTCTAATGATAACCAAAGACGCTTCAGATCATCAGATATGTTCAGTTAATGGACGTTTATGGTTAAATACACATAGTAATGGAATAATTGTAGAAACATTTCGTACGCCGTATTTTTTACCAAATTTTGATTCAATAAAAAAGTTAGAAATTAATGATCCGTCTTATTGGCATATATCCTATAGCAATGACGATGATATTAATCGTTTAAAACAAATATTAAGTCGCGATGGTCTGTTTTATGTACAAAAAATAAACTCACCACAAGCATCAACAATATCCGCAACATTGACGTCATCTTCCTTTGTGCAGTTGTTATCAAGTGAACAAGAAACATTAAGAAATTCCTTTCATGCGTTACAACTACATACGGAAATTAACCGTCTACTACATGATCCTATCAATAGTCGACATGTAAAAGAAATGAATTCATTAATTGCATTCTATGATAAATATACAAAACAAAAACATCAGTTTAAGAAATTGAATATTGAACACGAACAAAAGTCAGACTTTAGCAATGATGATACGGTGGACGATTCACTTATTCTAAAAAATCAATTTACAAATATTTTATTGAAAACAATTACAAGTATGTTAAAATTAAATGCTAAAAACTTAAAATGTAGAGCTTGGATTGCAACCACTAAAATATTCGTTAGAGAACATTTTAATATTTTTTTACCTGAATTAGAAAAATCTGTGGAATAGGTTTCCAAACTTTTGAGAGTGTTATGTCTTTATCAAGATATTTTTAGTGATAACTTTTCAAGCTGTCAGTAGCTTTCGGGTTAAGAGTGGTTAATCTGTGATAATCTCTAAGAAATGATTACGAATCTGAAGTCATTTTCGGGTGTTCTTCTCATTTAGAAACAAAATCTGAGTTGCTTAGGGCTCTCAGAAACGAACATGATTCAAGACGTTATGGTTTGTTACATCCGATTCAAGATTGGTTACCAAACTTAAACGAAGAAAATTTAGCAGCACTACTTGGTAAGACGCTCTGTCTAGATGAAAAATACTAAATAACATAACTTGGGTATTCCAACACTTCAGAATTTTTTAACAACAGACGGTTTGGGAGATCAATTTGAAAAGAGTTTGTCGAGTTCTGATACAGTCCATCACAATGAATTGTTTGTTATGAGATGATTGTTTCTATTTTAGATACGACTAGTCCAGCTAAATTACTACGACACGCTGTAAATATTGGACTTGATTGCGAACTAGCACTACATTTATTAAATTTGACATGAATCTCTTAGTTTTTCATCTAACTTAGCCTTCATTTTCTTGTACATCTTGTTTTTCTATCTGATCTTTAGGAAATATATTTTTGGTAAATAATCTTCCTGCTCTTTTGTATCTGTCTATACTCTTGTTACATTTTTAAAATTTTTGTTATGTTGTAGAAATGAAAAATTTTTGATTCGATTTTATTAACTCCAAGAGTGCTAATGCTGATACCGTGCATCTTTCTTCATTATACGAGTGGTTTATTGAGAAACTTGTTATTTTTATTTCAGGGTTAATGTATGTAAGACATACGTTTGAGAATAATTCATCTATTCTCCTTGGAGTTCGAAACCACAACATGCAAGAATCTATGAAAAGTGACATAAAAAGGGTATTCCCGTGCAGTGGTCGATAGAAGAGTCTTGTTTCCTATAGAGATTATATAGCGACAAGGATCAGTTAATTGTAGCTTTTCCAGTACCCTATAACAATGAAGGGGTGATAGTATTAATTCATTGATTTCGAAGGACTTTTTTTTAAGACAAAGGATTTTCTTTTCTTTTTCATTTCTCTAAGGAAGTCTGGTAATGTGCTTGCATTAGAATTCCATTTGCAAAGGAGCGGGGGTCGCCGGATCGCCGTAGTGCTAGATCCGCCACTGCATGTCAATCTTAGAAGAAAGAAAAATACTACCTCAACACCAGGCCGAATTTCGACCCGAAAAAAGCACACTGTACAACATTTTAAGATTACAAAATTTTACGACCAATAATTTGAGTACCATTAATTTTCTTTCGTCGTCGACTCTAGCACAATTGTTGCACATTTCAACGCACGTGTCAAAATTCTATCTCAGTTGAGAAACGAATATTTTCGAAGAAATAATGGTTTCTCAACTGAGATACTTGATTAAAATATGGATCGTATCTCAGGTGAGCTCAAACCTGTTATAATATAAATAATATAAGCTATGTTAGGCTCATTAGAGCGTTGTCTTTTTTATGATTATCTTTTGAAATATGAAAAAGAAACATCGTATCTAAACAAAAAGCCGCAGCTAATAGAAAACCTGTAACTTGCCCAGCTCCGCTTTGGGCATTTTTCACGGAAAAAGAAATTTCAAGTCATGACTTGTGACTTGACCTGATTTGGTTTGGAAAAACCCGAAACTTGACTTGACTGGAGAAATTTTTTTATTACTCATGACTTGATTTGTGACTTGGAAAACCCGTGACTTGCCCAGCTCTGGCTCAAGGATCACCACTCTCTCCTCCGCGATATATTTTATTTACAGCTGATTCTATGGATGGATTGGCATTTCACACGGATCATGAACTTTTTGCCGAAGATACGGCTTTATGGGCATCCTGTAACGCTACTTCTGGTTTAAACAGGTGTCTTGAGGAATCCGTGAATGTTTTCGCTCGTTGGTGCGAAACCTAGAAGTTAGCTTTACAGTCAAGTAAAACTGAAATGCTTCATTTTAGTGTACGTCCACGTAAACAATACAAACATCAAGTACAAGTGATTGTCACTTTCGTGGAAAGAACAGGTGAAACATGTCAAAGAAAAGATCAATTCCAGAATCAATCTGTTGAGATTCCTTTTACAATCAGCTCTAGAATAGAATGATCGAATCATAGTGAACTTATTCAAATCTTTGGCTACCCATGCAAACGAAAAAAGTCATTCAAGGAGTGCAGCGAGTACTCGAAAATAGGCGCTTGCCGAGGGCTCAAACCGTCGGAAAATGACACTTCGGATCCTCGATATAAGCTTTCGAGAATATCGATTTTGAGCCCTCGGATTTCAGATAGGTAGCGTGCCCTCGAGAAAAATTTCGAACCGTCGAGTAGAGATGTTCGGGACTTCCGAGCTCTCACTCTCTCGAGGATGCGGATTTCGGATTTTTCGGAATTTCGAAGCTGAGCATAGCCTAATGTAGAGGAAAGTGTGGGCTACAAAATGATACCACTCCCAGTACTTCACGACCTTTTTTCAAAAAGTTATGAAGTTTTTCCTTCAAAACCTAAAATACTCAATTTATTTAGTTTCATAAACTTTTCTCTCATTTTTCGTACACGCAAAATTTTTCTTACACATAGTCTGATAGAAGAAAGTGTTTCTTCACAATGAGACGTTTTATAGAATTTCCCGATGAGTTTTCGCGGAGATATAAGCATCACGGCAAATGCAAACACGTGACGGAAAGACCACCACCTCTGAGTTCTAGTAGAACTGAGAGGTGGTGGACTTTCTGTCACGTGTTTGGGAAAAGGTGTTTCATCCAGACACATTATGACCCCTCGAAAAAATGGTCCGATCGAGCTCAAAATTTTACCACAGATACTTCAAACCCTATCTCAGATTCGGTTTTTTTCTTTTCAAAAAATATGCTTTCCTTCTCG